TCAGTCGCAGGTCGGGGAGAACAGGTGTGTTGTGGGAGAGGGAAGGACAGCTGGAGCTCAAGAGGAGGGCGGGGAGTCTGGATGGAGGCTGGGGTGCGGCTGGAAGGCAGGCAGGCAGATGTCTGAGGACCCTCAAATGCCCTTCAGAGGAGTTTGAATTTCACTTTTACTAATTTGATTATCAAATACTATACCAAGGAAGTGCAACGCTCTGTTGGAATATTATTTTTAGTTCTTATCACAGTTCATTTTCTTAGATGAGATGAATGTGTTTTGCTCAGAATTGGTGACATTGGGTTTGGAAGGTGCACGCAGAGGCCCACTGTGGGCAGGGTCACCTGGCAGCCCTGTGGAGCAGCCTGGCGGTGGCAGGGGGCCGGCTGGGTGTGGGCTGTCTTCACTGCTCCCGCCTGCACACAGGAGGGATGAGGTTCACTTCGGGCGGGTGGGTGACTTCTCGGGAGACGCTGGAGAAAGTGAACGCGCCCGGGAGGCACTGAGGTTGCTGGCTGGTGAGCGGAGCCTGCGCGGTGTGAGGGCTTCTGAGCGCAGAGCGGAGGCAGGCGCCGTGCGGCCTCTCCCTGCCTGGCCGAGCGCCTCTCCCTGCCCGGCCGAGCGGCCTCTCCCTGCCCGGCCGAGCGGCCTCTCCATGCCCAGCCCTGCGCCTCTCCATGCCCAGCCCTGCGCCTCTCCATGCCCAGCCGAGTGCCTCTCCATGCCCAGCCGAGCGCCTCTCCCTGCCCAGCCGAGCACCTCTCCCTGCTCGGCCCTGCGGCCTCTCCCTGCCCAGCCGAGCGCCTCTCCCTGCCCGGCCCTGCGGCCTCTCCCTGCCCGGCTGAGCGGCCTCTCCATGCCCAGCCCTGCGCCTCTCCATGCCCAGCCGAGTGCCTCTCCATGCCCAGCCGAGCGCCTCTCCCTGCCCAGCCGAGCACCTCTCCCTGCCCGGCCCTGCGGCCTCTCCCTGCCCAGCCGAGCACCTCTCCCTGCCCAGCCCTGCGGCCTCTCCCTGCCCGGCCGAGCGGCCTCTCCCTGCCCGGCCGAGCGGCCTCTCCCTGCCTGGCCGAGCGCCTCTCCCTGCCCAGCCCTGCGGCCTCTCCCTGCCCAGTCTCCCCGGTCGCAGAGGATGCTCCTGAGGCCAGAGCAAGCACAGGCTGTGCCCACCTCCGGGCTCGGAAACAAAACGCCATCCCACTCGTTCATGTTACAAGGAAAAACCACCCTTAAGTTATTGAGAATGAGACTCAGCCATCTAAGCAAAGGTGTTATAAAGTTTAATTAATGAGTTTCTTCCATGTAACACACAACTACTGTATTTTAAAAGAAGAGTTTGCACTGGGAAGAAAGAGGTTGAATAGATGAGCCCTGAGGATTAAATCTTCCTGCATCGCCCTGGCCGTTTTGGCTCAGCGGTTAGAGCGTTGGCCCACGGACCAGAGAGACCCGGGTTCGGTTCCCGCTAAGGGCATGTACCTCCGTTGCAGTTTGTCCCCAGCCCCGGTTGGGGTCGTGTGGTGGCAACCACCTGATGTGTCTCTCTCACATCAATGTTCCTCTCTCTTCCCTCCTCTCTCCCTCCTGCTCTATCTGAAGATAAATGCAAAAATGTCCTTGGGCGAGGATAAATATCAACAAACAACAAAAATATCTTCCTGCACAGATTGGGGGGCTCACCCTTACCTCCACGCTCACCTGCAGTGACATGATCATCTCAGGAGGGTGCATTTGGTGAGGGACACCGGCTGGGACATGGCCTCAGGCTGCTCACCCATGAATTTGCCAGGAACAGGAGCCTACATTTAAGATCCCTCAGAGTGGCTCAGCTGTCCTGTGTCCCCTCAGGGACGGCGCCTGTCACCTTCATATCGCAGATGGTGCGCCAAACTTCCTGGCCATGTTTCATGAAGGGAAAAAAAAAAACATAAACAAAACATCGCATTTTCAGGGAGGAAGGCAAAAGTTATGTATGACAGTTAAAATTCAAAATTTTGATTTTTATTAGATTTGATATTTTAGATTTATGATATTTTTATATTTATTTCATTTCTATTAAATTTCTTTTATTTTAATTTTGAATTTTTTTACTTATTAGTGATTGAGTTTTATATTTATATTTATAATTTTTATATTTCTATCACAGTACTTGTTCTATACACATAAAAATGTGATAGAAGATAGATGCCGCTGGAGCAAATAAAATATTTGAGCACAATTATGCAGTTATTCCAAATCCTGGTTTATGCTTTGGTTGAAGAAGTGAATAAGGCAGCAATATCTCCCCTTTTCCTGCTGCACTAGAAACCCCAAATGCCATCAACTTGCAGAAGATTTAACTGAGTTTTATTGCCTGGTATCTTGTGAAATAAAATGCCAAATCAAGAGTAAAAATATTTTAAAATTTTATCATCTTAGATCTTTCAAGTTTGTGATTTATTTATTTATTTATCCTCGCCTGAGGACATTTTTGCATTTATAGTCAGATAGAGCAGGGAGAGAGGGAGAAGAGAGAGAGAGAAACATCAACGTGAGAGAGACATCCCCGCACGACCCCAACCGGACCGGGGACAAACTGCAACTGAGGTACGTGCCCTTAGCGGGAACCGAACCCGGGTCTCTCTGGTCCGTGGGCTGATGCTCTAACCGCTGAGCCAAACCAGCCAGGGCAAGTTTGTGATTTTTAACATACAACTGAGTTGAAACTTCTTCAGTCAGACACCCTCTATTCACCCACATTACCTGCTGGTTTCCAGGGTTCCTTTGTTTATATTCATTTCGCCACCCCTCCTCCTCCCCGCCTCCCTCTGTAGGAACATATTCATTTGGGGGGAACTCCGACAAATGGCCCAGTGCGTGAGCTCTTCAGTACCAGTGCTGGGAGCATCGCTGTCGGAATGCTAGGGGATCATCGTAGTTAATTATTTCTAGCTCCTTTGCTGGCACCACTCACCTCAGTGTGTACCTAACCGTTTTCTTTTTTAAGCCATTCCAGAAATCTCAAAGTCTTGCACAGAATCTATAATGATCTCTTTGCTCTGTTGACAGGGGATTTTGAAATTTACAGACAAACATACTAGAATCAATCAGTAAAGATACAGATGATGAATCCGTGGTTTCTGAAAAGTATATTGTGGTTTGAAATGACATGATTTAATCATCTAAATTGTCATAAAGTTTCAAATTTTATTAACTTTCTTATAAAAACGTACAGTGAAGACACCAATCATCATTTTTCAAGGTGGCAGACCTAAAACTTAAATATTTCACTTTGCAAGTTTTATCTAGTGTTTATTTTAAATTATATGCTGCTGTGCAAGTCTTTAATTTATTGTTTGGTCATTGTGCAGTCTTTCTATTTTAATTAATGCAAATCTATTTTTAAAACTCTTTCTATGCCTAAACAGTGACACTATGAGAAATTCCTAGATAATGTTGGCTTTGCCTGGTATAAAGACTTTATTCAATACTTTTTCGTGACTATATCAAATATCACAAAATTCAGTTACCAATCTCCTAACCACACATACCAGAAGAATAGAGATTGTATCAATTTAATGAGTTGGAACAAGATCATAGTTTGTAATACAGATAATGATGCTCTCGATCGGAAACCTGACACGGTTTCACCAGCCGCGGAGGACACCCTGCACTCACAGGAAGCAGAAGCACCCAGACAGCCCAACTCGGGGACTTTCCTTCAGCCTGACATCTGCGCTCAGAGTCTCAGGGCACTTGCTTTGCTGTGTTCGCTTGAATTTTCCAAGCTCTCTCAGTTCTTGATTCCACATGGCTATTGTGTGGATCAAATAATCCCCGTCACAAAAATACCCTGGGGGGTGACTGCCCGGTCCAGGTTCTGAGCAGCTCGGGCCGCATGCCTGGGGTATGAGCTAGCCTGACCAGATGACAGCTCCTTTTCCAGCTCTGTAATCCCCAGGCACAAACACCAGCCAAAATAAAAGTCAGAGCGAAGGGGCTGTACAGACTGCAGCCCTGTGCAGAGCGCTGGAATGCAGCGGGTCTCTCCTGGCTGTCTTTCTCAAGTCATGTCTGGTCTGCAACTAAGAAGCAATTTGGAATATAAATAGTAAGTCCGCTGACTTCTTCCCCCTGCACCCCCAGCAGACTTTTGAAAACCTATCTCTGGCAGGTGGCCCTGTTTGGGCCGAGCTCTCGTCCTTTCGCCTGGTTCCTCTGTTAAAAAACAACCGGGAGGGAGGAAAAGGCAGCGGCTCTGGAAACCGTCCCTCTGCCTGTTCTCCCAGTTTCCCCGCGTGTCCTGCAGAGTGAGGTCTTTGTTCTCAACAACAGGCGCACTGTGTGCCCATGCCTGTCAGCACTGCAGAACGTTCTCTGCTCCTGAGCAGAGGCGCAGCTCGCGGAGGGGCGGGTCAGCCCCCGCTCCGCTCCGTGCTCACAGGGCTGCGTCCCGGCCAAGGGGCCCCTGGGTCTGCGCGGGGAAGCCGCCTGCTGAGGCTCAGGGCAGGCTGCAGTCCTCAGACTCCTAGGATAACTGGAGTTGGGGACCTGCCCTCCCGTCCCTCTCGGGGATCTTCCTCCCACCCGCTGCTCCTAGAACTTTCCAAGTCGCCTGCAAAGGAGTCGCGCCCGCCAGGCAAACGGCGCGTTCCTTCCAGCCGGCGTCACCGCGCGGGTCTCAGGAGCGCACAGCCACTTCCAGCGCCCCCACCAGCACCCCCAGGGAAGGAGGTGTCTTAGGTGGCAGCTGAGCAGAACTGCAATACCCTGTTCCTCCCCCCAAAATAATGCATGGTCGAGGGGAAAGGGGAACCAGGCGAAAGGCGCCGCATCTGTGCCCAGCGTGCCCGGGTGGGGCAGCCCTGCAGCTCCAGGGGACGGGGCAGGAGAGGGGGTGGCACGAGGGACCTCCGCCCACCCCACCCGACAGCTGTCAGCCCTTGGCATTCATTGGCTCCCCCCACCCCGCCTCCCGAATACCACCCCAGCCAGCTTAGCCCCCCGCCCCCTCCGCGCTGACCTAATAGGGCCGTGCAGGGTGTGGGGACTGGGATAAAAGGCGCGGGCTCCCGGGGACTCTGCGCAGACAGCGGACAGCAGTCACCCTGCGAGAGGACAGCCATGGCCAAGGAGTGGGGCTACGCCAGCCACAACGGTGAGTCCCCGACATACCTGAGGCGCCCTGCACTGAGGACCGTGGGCACTCCCCCAAACCGCGGGCGGGGTCCAGTGCGGACCCACTAAGCGCCAAAGCTGCTGGTCCTCCCCTCCACGCCGCAGCGCTCCCCAGGGTGGAGCTGTTGTTCCTACCAGCGGGAGCAAGGCTCAGAGAGGCTGGGGAACTTGCCCAACATCACACTGCCTCCGAGGTCAGACCTCAGAGGGGTCCAGCTCTGAGGCCCTAGGCAGGCGCTGGCCTCTCTGGACCTGGTGGGGGAGGACCATGCCCTGAAAGCCGCCTGTGCGCAGCGCTTTCTTCCAGCCGGAGGACAGAAGCTTGGGTCAGAGGGCGGCCAGGGCCACGGCACAGCAGCCTTGGGAGCTGCACCCTGAGCAAGCAGGAAGGCGCGGAGTTGCCTGGTCTCCAGGGTCCCACCAGCATGCTGAGCCTTGGACTGTCCAGTCTGAAACCCAAGACCTCCCACAGCTAGCAGGAGGGTTCCCATCGGGGCAAATTGATAAATCCCCTCACCTTGACTCCCTAGGTCCTGACCACTGGCATGAAATTTACCCCATTGCCAAGGGAGACAACCAGTCACCCATCGAGCTGCACACAAAGGACATCAAGTACGACTCCTCCCTGCAGCCATGGTCAGCCTCCTACGACCCAGGCTCCTGCAAGAGCATCCTGAACAACGGCAAGACCTGCCGGGTGGTGTTCGACGACACTTACGACCGCTCCAGTGAGTATGGCCCTCAGGGGGAGCCAAGGGGTCCGCCTCCGCACTGGCAAGGTACAGCTTAGGACAGTCACAGGATTGGTGGGGAGAGGGGACACGCCATCTCTGAACATGGAGGTGACATTTGACATGGAGACTGGCACATATGCCTTGAGGAGGAATGTGCCACCCTGGCCTTGCTCGTGGTGTGGCTCCGTTGTGACCATGGTTGGCTGGTGCCCAGGGTCGTGCCCAGGTAAAGCTGCAAGCACCCGGAGCCGGAGCGGGCGGAGGGGGCAGCCGCAAGGTGAGGGGTGCCTGTTCTCCAGGCTCCCACGGGCTGCACCCAAGGGCTCTCTGCTTCTCCAAGTTTGGCAGAGACTCCGTTCTGCAAAGCAAGGAACATAACAGAGAAACAGAGTGGGCAGCCCCTCCCCTGGTGTCCGGGTGGGGCCAGGCCTGGGGGAACAGGGCCAGCGTGGGAATCAAGATCAGTGCCCTTCACGCTCCCTCGGGTTTGTCTGATGAAGCCTCTGGTGAGTGGTTCGAAGTCCCTGACGATTTATCCATGGGTGTGTGCGAAAATGAAAAATTACGTTTACAAACAAAATAAAACAAAACAAAACCTCTTTATTTTACCTACACTATGAAGTGAATTGGTGAAATAAAAAAAGGCCAGTTAGAAAAGCTTTATTTCTATACACGAAGTAAGACTCTTCCTTCAGTATTTTAGTGCTTGAAGTACAATAATACACCTTCTTACAGCCATATTTGTAAAGAAAAGGTAAACTTATCCTTATTGATGCAAATAGATGAATATGCCCAGTGATGTGGTCATAAAGAATCCAGTCATACTTCCTACCCACGAGGAGGTCCCAAGTCAGAAATATCATAGAAATTATATTTATTAAGTAGTGACCTGTTACTGTTTACTCCTTCTGCATTGGAATAAAGTTCCATGTTGAAGGCTAAACTACAACATTAAACAATATCTGTTAGTTGGATCACATACTATTTTGGGGGTACACAAAAATAGTTGAATATTGTGACAGTGTCATAGGTCTATCCTAATACATTGGACGCATATGTCCAGATAATGACTGTTCCCGTTGGTTGACAGGTATACACAATAAATCAGGCCATTGTTTCTACTCGACGAAGCCCACTTGAGCCTTGCTCTGTTGTGTCAGACGGAAACAAGACCCGTCAGCCCCCATTGGTGGGCATCTCTTTCTAGAACTAAATTCTATTTTGATCGAACTTATATCGCTAAATCTTGATTTTAAGGTTTCTGGATAGTTTCCAGTGTCCTTTAAAAAACGTTTCAACCTCTTCGCCAGGCTGAGTGACGTGAGACTGTACGAAGTGACAGGGCTGAGTGCTTGGGTAACACGCCAGAATGTGCCACCGAGAGCGACACGGTGTCGCCCAGCTGTGCCCCGGGACAGTCTGACTTCCCGTTCCCTGCGCTGAGCAGGCACTGTCTAAACCAGACGTGTGAGCGCTCTGGGGCCTAAAGGAGGGAGGTGGAGGCAGGCGGCGGAGGAGGAGCTCCGTGTGCGCAGTGACTGCGGGTGGGCTCTGTGCTGGACACGCAGGTACCTCATCTGCTTTAACCCTCGCAGCAGCTCGGAGAGGTTGGCACCATCGTCACCTCCGTAGGGACGCAAACAGGGGTCCGAGGCAGCACTGCGCCCTGCCTGGGACGCCCGGCTGGTCAGGGCGGACCAGGTGTCTGCCTGGCCCTCAGCCGGCAGCCTCTGCCCCTGCACCCCAGGCCCCCCGGCCCTTGGCGCTCCGTCCTCACTGCCCACCCTGCTGTTTCACTTCATTCTCGTAACTGTTCAGTGGACATTGTAAAAACACTCAAACAAGCACACAGTGCAGACAGGGGGAGACACCGTCGACGTGGAGAGAGCCGAGATGTGCTTTGTGAGAAAGGCGCGCGGGCGCCGCCTGTGTGCCCCGCCGGCGTCCGCGCGTGTGGCCGCGGGGTGCGGGGGCTTCTCTGCTGACCGGCTTCTCTGCACCACAGTGCTGAGGGGCGGCCCGCTCAGTGGACCGTACCGGCTCCGCCAGTTCCACCTGCACTGGGGCTCCGCAGATGACCACGGCTCGGAGCACACGGTGGATGGAGTCAAGTACGCGGCCGAGGTAGGAGGGCGCTCACTGCCTGGGACCCCGAGGCCGCCCACGCTTCCCCTAAGCCTGCCCAGGGAAGCTGCCACTGCTGAGGCTGCGCAGTTCCGGGGACATGAGGGAAGACTCTTGACCGAGTGTTGAGAAGTTGGATAGCAGCGGAATAGAAAACAGGCTGGGCCCTGGGTGGGACTAAAAAGACAGGTAGCTGACACTAGGTGCTTAGGAGGGAGGGCTTGTGGGGTCCCCTCAGCAGCTCTATAAGGCAAGTGGCAGATCAGGAAACTGAGGCACAGACTAGTTACCTAAGAAGTCCCCGGAGGGGGCACTGGGTCTGGGCTCCGCCTCGCGAAGACTGGCATCTGCAACCACCTGCCTGTCGTGCCCTGGGCTGCCCTGCTTTGTTTTGTTTAAGTTTTGTTGTTGTTGTTTTCTTTATCGATTTTAGAAAGAGGGAGAGAGAGAGAAACATCAATGAGAGAGAACATCGACTGGCCGCCTCCTGCATGCCCCACTGGGGATCGGGCCCACAGCCTGGGCATGAGCCCTGACCGGGAATCAAACCGGCGACCCCTTGGTTCATGGGTCGACCCTCAACCACTGAGCCACACCAGCGGGCAAGCCCCTGTTTTTAAAGAACAAACTGTGTTTCTTAAAAATCATGTTCAATAATTCTGGCTGAAGCTCACACTCCCATCTCTTAATGAAGGGTGTGCATGTGCGTGTGTGTGTGTGTAATTATATGTGCACACATATGCACACACACGTAGATACACACAAAACTGAACATGAGCAAATACTACTCTTAGTCTCAGTGAACCCATTAAAAGAAGAGCATGGTTTGTAGCTCAGATCAAGGCACCGAATACAAGGAACAAGCCCCCGCATGTTCTTTCCATAAACCAAGTCTGTAGGAGGTGACAAGTGCCCAGGAGTGGGCACCATGCCCCTTGCCCCACCCCACCCTTCCCCCGGGCAGGCTCCAGTCGGACAGGAGCCTAGGAGCACCGTGGGCATGCCTCGGGCAGCGCAACTGCAGGTTAAACTAACTCTGGGCGACCCCCAGCACTTCCCTGCCCCTCCAGCCCATCTGCAGGTGGTGGGACCGCACCCCTACTGAGAAGGCCTCGGGACGCCTCCCCCGCGGCTGGGCAGGCCTAGGGTGTGCCTTACAGACACGGGCAAGGTGTGCACTTGGGCCCCTGTGTCGGGCTATCGCACACGTTTGCTTTTGAATGAAGCAGATTTAACTACTAGGAACTATTGTAGTCTCTTGTTCCACATACTCAGGATGAGCCTTGGACTAATTTAAGTGTTGCCTGTGTTCTAAATTAGGTGAGGGTACCACCGGCTACAAAAAAGAGGCAGATATGAAAATGTCCACTCCCTCTTTTTCCTCCCCAGTTCCCAGTGAGTTGTGACTTTGGGGTGTTAGCAGACTCCTGCTTATAGCTCTATGTGTCACTGGGTAAGAAAAAGGTGATGCAAAAACTAAAACAAATCTTTACATTAATAGTTCAATTTTTATTTATTGCTAAGTCCTAAATCTATTTATCCTGATTTTATAGGTGTTTTAACTACTAAAAATGTCACCCCAATATTGCCTGTTAATATTTAGAATTCTGTCAGCTTCTGTGAGAGCTCTCAGAAGCCCTGGGCTGGATAACCATCGGGCGGTTCGATACTTGTTTCCGTGAGCTAGGAATTGACCTCACAGCCCGCGTTCTGTTTCCAGCTGCACTTGGTCCACTGGAACCCAAAGTACAACACGTTTGGAGAAGCTCTGAAGCAGCCCGACGGGATAGCTGTGGTTGGCATCTTCCTGAAGGTACGGTGCCCGTGCGCCACGCCTGTTGTTTCCAAGCTGACTTCCTTTCCCAAGCTTAGAACAGCATGTCGCCCCCCTTTAGTTCAAAGGGGAGAAGAATGAATTTCAGTTCTCGGTCAGCTAATGTGGATATTTCTGCAAAGATCAGCTCAAAATGTTTGCTTTCCCTCAAAAGTGTACCATTTGCAGTATTTCTCAAGATAGATGTGGGTTTATAGACGAGTGTGTGTGTGGAGGGTGAGCTGGGGACATCTTGGGAGGCGCCCATCCTGGTGGTGTTGAGGGCAGAGCAGCCCGGCCAGTGGCCTGTTCCCTCTCCATCCCCGTCACCCTGGAAACCAGCAAGGCCAGTCGGAATGCTGCAGCGCCCGGGCCTGGCAGCCACAGCCCACGGTCCCAGCTAAGACAGCGCAGGGAATGTGTGTGTTGTGGAGCCAGCCTTGGTTTAAAGAGGGCTTAGTGTCGTTAATACAAGAATGTTGTGGTAACGCAATCTAGATTTTTAAGCCAGAGGTGAAAATCTCGCTTCTTTCTTTTCGAATGACCTACTTTGTCTTAGGTTCTCAATTCATGGACACAGCACAGCGGGAAGCGGGGTGCATTTAGTTTTCGATCCATTGAGCCTGTGCTAATTCCAATTCTGTTTTAAAAAAGGAAAACATAGAACAACTTTGCAGAGAAGGTCAAGGACACAGAAGCAGATCAACATATAATTTTGTGGTTCGGCCCTTCAGAGGCCTGGAGTCCAAGTTTAGTTCAGAAAATACAGACTCGAAAATCTAGGGGGAGAAGTAAACTTCTGTTTTTGCTTAGGACACGATTCCCTGGCAGATTTATAAGCACTGCTTGCAGATGGAGGCATCGAAATTGGTTTTTAAGACAGCCCTAAATGATGGAGAAGGGAAAACTGTAATGACTGGTTTCCCATTTCCTTTCAGATAGGACGAGAGAAAGGCGAGTTCCAGCTGATTCTCGACGCGCTGGACAAAGTTAAGACCAAGGTAGAAAATGCTCATTTTCCCTCTGAGAACAGAAAGCAGGGCCTGCCAGTTTTTCCATGTACATTTCAAGTGTATTTCTTTCACCTACAGTCTGTTACTGAGTTTGATGACTATGCTAAACACATGTATACATATTAATGCCATTACGTTGATACGTTTATAGCTTTTAAAGCAATTTCACATACCTCAGCTTATTTAATGCTCACTGTCAGTCTGTCAGACAATTACTGTCTCAATGAGTTGGATGAGAGTGGTCACCCCCCAGCACATGAATACACACCACACCACACACACACACAACCACAGGCACACACACCACATGTACACATACCATATGCATATACACTCCACATATACACATGCACATACACCACATGCACACAACCACATACATGCACACAACCATATGAACACACACAAACACCACATACACACACACCACATGCATGCGTGCACACACACCACATGTACATATACCATGTGCATATACACTCCACATATACACATGCACATACACCACATGCACACAACCACATACATGCACACAACCATATAGACACACACACTCCACATGCACACACACCACATGCACATAGCACATGTGCACCAGCACACACCATATGCACACACAACCACATGCACACATGCCAGATGCACATACACATCACACATACCATGTGCACACACATTTGAAGAAGTAACATGTTTGGCTCCTGGTGTTGCCCTTTCTTTCCTGGCAACACCTACATATTTTTCACGTTAACAATGGACTCTTCTAATTAACAGTCTCATTTTAATTGTTTGGGACTGTTCCTATCAAATGCGAATACCTTTTACCACCATAGAAAGTAAGTTTTCAGTGTTCAATAAAAATGTGAGCCTGTTTTTTTTATCATTAAGATCCAAAGCATTAACTGATAATGTATTATTTCTGTTGCAGTCTAGATAGGTTTCTTCTTTTTGCTGAGAGGTGATAGAATCATGGTTCTACCATCAATTAATAAGGACTAAAATGCTACAATGTCCCAGAGAAAGTCAGAACACACAGACCCGGCCTCTGCCTTTGCCCTTTATTTCTGAAAGGCTTGAACTTGGTTGGAATGCTTTGTTTTCACCACTGTGTTTGAATTTATCCCGACAAATACAGTGAGGGCCGTGGGGAGGACAGGTGCACCTGCCCACCTCACCTGCCCGCCCCGCCCGCTCTGCAGGGCAAGGAGGTGCCCTTCACGCACTTCGACCCGTCCTGCCTGTTCCCCGCCTGCCGCGACTACTGGACCTACCACGGCTCCTTCACCACGCCGCCCTGTGAGGAGTGCATCGTCTGGCTGCTGCTCAAGGAGCCCATGTCCGTGAGCTCGGAGCAGGTGAGCGGGGGGGCTGAACGAGGGCACAGCTGCCCCTGGACGCCGAGGGCAGCTGTGCCCCAGGGTGTTCTCCGTGGGCCCTGGGCCGCTAGCCAGCCTGTTCAGCTTTCCTGGGTCTGAGCTCCTGAGGGTGCCCGGACAGTGCGGCCGCTTCGGGGGTTGCTGAATGGTGGCCGGGTGACGGGGGAAACACCATTACCTGCATTAGTCTCTGTTCATCTGGAGACAGCCAAGTACAGAGCACTGGCTGGGAGACAGGAGGGTAACTCCAGGCCTCGGGAGAGGGGTGCTAATGGGAGGGTTTGTCATCCTGTGAGTGTGCTCTGTTCCTCCAGCCTTCCAGGTAAGTTGAGGCTCAGAAAAGGTAAGTAATTTGCTCAGGATCACACAGCCGAGGGCAGGAAATGAGATTCCACCTTCTCATTCGGTCTGTCTGCTTCTAATACCTCAGTCCTCTCTTCTGACTGTTCATCGAAGAACGTGCTAGACTCTCCGAGAATGGCTTGGGGACAGGGAGTGGGTGCACACACGGAGAGGAGAGGGTTAGAGCAGGTGGGCACCCTCCGCCCTGGGCTGGCCGTGGGAAGAGTCAAGTCAGTTTCCCAGCGTCTCCCACCCCAACACAGCAGTTTCTGGAGGCTGTGGACTCAAGTTCTCATGGTCACTTTTATCAACAGATCAGGTATAACCATCAGGCTCCCTGGTGGAACTATTTTGAAAGAGTAATTATCTTAAAAAGAAAAGCTAAAAATGTTTTTGTATAGAAACAGAGCATTACCAATAAGAGTTTCCTAAATTCTTCTCCCTTGAGGAAAAGAATCAATTCTGAACATTTAAAATGTAGCGTGACTGCTATTTCCTTCTGCTCTTTAAAAAATGTCTCTGTGCACATACCCAGTGAAGACGGCTCACAGGTGTTATTCGCACCGACGTGTCCCTCCTCCAGAGGCGTACACTCTGCACGGACCCTCCCGTGAAAGGGATCCTTTCAGGACTCAGGAGGAGAGGCTCGGGCCAGCAGGCCTTGCGGTCCTGTATGAAATCAAGTGCTTTTACCCAGAGAGAAAGGTCTGTCCCACCAGCCCGGCCACCCGATAGCTCTGGACGGAACACGGGAGGCGGGGATTGCCGTCTGCGTGTCCTGTAGAAAAGCCAGAGGTTTGGACGCCGATGCGCACATTTGTGTCCACGGGGTCCGATGTGGAGCTGACCGTCTCCCTTGCCCCTCACAGATGGCCAAGCTGCGCAGCCTCCTGTCCAGCGCTGAGAACGAGCCCCCGGTGCCCCTGGTGGGGAACTGGCGCCCACCGCAGCCCATCAAGGGCCGGGTGGTGAGAGCCTCCTTCAAATGAGCCCGCGCAGGAGGGACGCCGCCCCGGAGAGCTTGGTTCCTGGCCTCCTGTCAGTGCTTCTTACTCTGAGTGTATTTCAGATTCACGCTGAGCCACGAATGAGGGAGCTGCTGTCACGAGGAACCACAGTTCCTGATGACAGGGCCGGACAGGGAGCATCCGTCTGTGCAGTGACCCCTTCCCTGTGAATGTAGCCTTTGCGGTTTCAGAAAAAAAGAAAGATAGCAGAGGAAAGAGACAGAAAGGGGCTCTTGGTCACCATCTCCCTGTCATCACACATTTCACAGAGCTTCAGTTTTACTATTTCCACACATGGCGCTGTCTGTCCTAACCGCTTAGTGAGTGGTTCTACATGTAGGTGACAGGTGAATGTAAGTCACACAGCAATTAGACATGAGCACAGGTACAGTGACCGTGGACACCAAGCACTGAGATGTCCGTTGTTTGGGCCCTTCAATAAAACCAACGAGGGGTCCGTGGTGTGCTAAAACCCCAGCTCCCACGACATGACCTGCTTCGATGATCAGTGACAGGGAGACTCACTCGAGCAGGAGTTTTACAGAAACAAACATGACCTGGTATTTGCATTTCATCCTTAAGATGGTTGGCTTTAGCCTAATATTTTCTTTGCCTGAAGGAGGGCCATTTCTCTTTAATGTTGCTGCTTTGATTTCTGCATGCTTGTTAAACACTGCCGGGGCCGTCTTTGTACGCTGAGTGGGATTCACAGTTCCTGGCCCGCACGGGGGCAAACGCCAAGCAGACGGTGAGGCGGGGGCTGATCACCAAACTAATAAAGACATGAATGCAAAGAGTTCAGTGTCGTGGGTTTTTAATGAACAGGGGTTAAAGGTGATAGAAAAGAGTAAGACTAAGAACACCAAATTTGTACGTCTGGGCTGGTGGCTGAGGGGCGGTGGTGACAAAACCAAGTCTGACTTCCACTGGGCACTGCAGCCCTGGGACTGGCCATGGTGGGTGGGAGTCTCCGAGGAAGCTAGGCAGACACAGCCCCCTGTGGCCATGAATTTGGGAGTGCCGAGCAGTCTCCAGAGGTCTGAAAGCTGGGTTAGGATTTGGGGTTCATACCACAAGTGACCCTGAGGAAGGTGGAATGACTGTGGTCCAACACATCAAAAGTCCATCCACTGAGATCTTCAAAATGTTTACTGTCTGTAGGCATAAACTTTGACGTGTTTCGTCACTTCACTGGCTCTTTGTCAACTTACGTTAGACAGTGACAGCAATTTGCCACCTGCGGAATGAAAGTAGCGTTGGGCCAGGAGAGTCCTGAGAGGCCGGAAGCCAGGTGACAGAGTCCTGGGAGGGGAAAGTAATTCAATAGATCGCCACTGGGGTGCAATGAAACCAGGCTGGTCAGCAGGAACCGGGTGTGTTAATTAAATCCCTAGAAGTCAGGAGGCTCAACAGCCTTCATCAATTAGCGGCGATGAGAGGCTGATTCTCTCAGGTGTTGTGAAATGTGTCCAGCGCACAGTCCATGTGGACACACCTGAACCAGTGCCAGCTGCAGGGCTCAGGTGCGCAGGCTCCTCGGGCTGGAATTGTTTTAAGAAAAAACGTCTAATCAGGGGAGCAATCTCCCTGGAGCGTGAGCTCCATCAGAAGTGGATATGAGTCTGGACACTGACGCTCCCCTTACCGACTCGTTCACTAACACACCTTCAATAAACTTTCAGTGAATGCCTAATGAACCAAAGACAGATATGGCCTTCTTGAACAATACCTTATTCAACACGATTAAAACGAGTGCTAGTTTTTGCTCATCTTCTCCACCTTAGATCTCCTTGGAAAATGATTGCTTTCGCTCCATAGGTGGTGGCTTTGCAGTGAAATAGAATCGGCCCCTCCCAGTCTGCACCATTGCCGGTGCTCACAGTTGTAACCCAACTTACAACTTCCTCCCAACTTCTCCCTAGGCCCGAATGTCCACTCGAATACTGAAACCACCCTGTGTCCTTATTCGGTGGGGGGTCATCTTCCTGGTGGTGCACAGACTTTCAGACAATTGCATCACTGGCACACACAGTCTGCAGGGGGTGGGGGGCGGGAGCTGCCAGGGTGATGATTCTGCAGGGAAGAATCACCGCAGGCATTTTAAGATTTAAACAGAGCAGAAACTGATTTGAACTGTCATAATAGTCAGATTATTATATCCTGAGAAGTCTGTGAATAGCCATCAGAATCTAGAATTTGCTGAATCTGAGCACTGCTGGGTCTCCAGGGTGCATCTATACTATAATCCCTTTTAATGGAAAGACAAAATGTCTATGAAGCGATCAATGACTGTGCAACCCCATGACCGGAAATTCTTCCTGTGGGTCAGCGAGTGCTGGTGCAGATGAGCAGACGTGTCCCATGCAGAACAGGTAAAAGCTGCAGGTTTCTGTGTCTACCTGCGATCACTTGTCTAACTGGATACACCCGGCCGGAGTGAACTGCAGGCTGGGATGCTCGTGACAAAGCAGTATGTCAGTCACTCAGGTACAAATTGGCAAAAATAAAATTGGCTTAGAAGGAAAGCACAGGGTTCAAAACCACACGTAGGTAAAGTTAATTAGATGTCAGTTTCTCGTTCAGTGTCTTCTTACTGGATATTAAAGAGGAATTCTGGACATGCACATAACATTATTGTAGCAGAGGAAGAATAGTGAGGAAGGTAAGAAAAAAGAATGATAACTGTGAATGTCAGATTAAAATTCTTTTCAGGTATCATGTCTGCAAATTTAATTTTTTTTAAGACCCTAATGCAGCAGGCTGACTTAAAATGCCAAGGAGACAGCAAAGCCAGGTTTGCATGTTATTTTTCATGTAGGCCACTAGATGGCAGCACACCAATTACCGAAAGGACAATAAAAAGCCACCTGTTTTCCTGACATTCAGTTTAGAGCAGAGGTTTGTTTTATTCCTGGACACTCTTTCTCATCTTCTCAAATGCTTACTTCACCATCAGTACCTATCTACAAAGAAGACATGGTGAGGCGCTGTTACATATTTTTGAGAATTTTAATAGCCAAAATGAGGCCTGAGGACTCAAGGCTAGTAGATACTAAACTGAAATTTAAATAAACAAAAAAGAAACATTCTGCAGACCTGTCCAGAGGCCTGGGTTCGAGTCACCCAAAACTTGCTGGGTGTGTGGCCTCAGGCAAGTTCATTTCTCTGTGCCTCAGTTTCCCTACCTGTGAATAAGAGAGTTGTCTTATGTATTAAATGGGTTAAGTGAGTTAATATACACCTCTTAGATTAGTTACTCTAGCATGTAATCATTTCAGTAGGGGTTAACAATTACTTTCTGAACACGGATTATACTTTAACCAAGAAAAATTCTGATGGATTATTCGAGACCTACGTTTATGTTTCTTTCTTTATGGGTCTATTAATAACATTATGAATCCACATAATTGGATTTTAATTGATTTTTTAGAGACAAAGGAAGGGAGAGAGAGATGGAAACATCAATGAGAGGGAACATTGATGGGCTGCCTCCTGCATGCCCCTCACGGGGGATGGAGCCCACCACCTGGGCATGTGCCCTGACTGGGAACTGACCCGGCGACCTCTGGGTACAGGGTCAACGCTCAACCACTGAGCCACACTGGCCAGGCGGAAAAATGGAATTTAAAAGCAAGCCAATGATTCCTGTCTCATACGTTGTGGCCACACCAGAAACTAGCACAAAGCTAGAGGTGTGACCTGGGGAGACCAGAGGATTTTCCTGGGGAAAATCCTGCCCCAGAGCTCGGCACCTTACCTGAGGACATGTGCAATGGACCACACACCCAGAAAAGAAGCCTCAGGTGAGAAGTAAGAAGACTGGGTGTCCTCTGTCCCACTGACTTTTCAGTGTCGGCCAGACAGAGCTCTGGCATGCTGCGTGGGGCGGAATTAACTCGGGGCTGCACAGGGAAGGTCTCCTGCTGTGGAGTTAACTTGGGGCTTGCCTGGGCACGCTGGAGACTCAGATCCTGGATGAGTTCCACACGTCCTCCTAAGACACAAGTTTACACATCTGGGAGTGACTCGATCCCTTTGCACAAAAGCCGAGGCATAAAATCCAGAGTCAAGGGGATGACTCGGGACTAACAAACGCTTTGGATTTGAAGATGCTTCCTAGCAGCCACCTGACAATTACAGGTGATAATCACAGGTAATCAGCAGGGGTGAGAACGAGTCTAACAGCACAGCCACAGGGGCCCAGTGCACTGCAGCGGCAGGAAACCTGGCGATTTAAGACCTAACTTTAGCCAGTGACACTCAGCTCTGTGCAGTAAACAGAATCAGATCCTCTTGTATTTCAACGATCCCCAGGTAGAGGAGAGGCCTGGGAGCTCAAGGAAAATATTTGGGCCATTAAATGTCCGTATTCCTTCTTTCAACAGTCCATAAATGTCTGTCATACTCACTCAACTCCTTTAGAAGTTGAATGGTCCCTAACTCATTTGTTCAAGATACTTCTTTCCACCAAGGACATTTAACTCCCAGAAAAGTATATTAGAAATGCAGTCTGGCTGGTGTGACTCAGTGGCTGAGCATCAATCCATGCACCAAGAGGTCGCTGGTTCGATTCCTAGTCAGGGCACATGCCCAGGTTGTGGGCTCAAACCCCAGTGTGGGACATGCAGGAGGAGGAGGCCAGCCAATGTTCTCTCTCATCGATGTTTCTATTTCTCTTCCTCCCTCTCTCCCTTCCTCTCTCTCTCAAATCAATAAAGAAAAATTTAGAAGAAGAAAGTATATTAGAAAGGCAGTGTTTGAACTTACTATGCAACCTAGGCTCATAGAGTTCACACTTCTGCTCCTGGACGAGCGGCCTAATGAAGACCCGAGGCAGGCACTAGTGCATGTGGGCAGATCAGCCCCAAGGAGAGGGCTTGGCTGGGTGAGAGACTGTACAAGCCAAGCAGAGCAGGCAGACAGCAGGGTCTGTCCTGGGAAGAGCTAAGAACTGAGCAGAGCAGGTGCAGTTAGGCAGTTAGCCATTAAGAGGCTGCAATTTAGTGGAGATATAGCAGTGGGTTCTAGCACTGAAAACAATTTTAGGAATAACAAGAATACTTTTAAACTCCATCTGTGAATTAGTTGTGTGTGTGTGTGTGTATGAGAGAGAGAGAGAGAGAGAGAGAGAGAGAGAGAGAGAGAGAGAGAGATGAGTAATGGGGGCCAGAGGCTTTAGGGAGGTAAGGACTCTGCCAGTCTTGTTATACTACTGAGGCCCCAGTACCTAATGCAGCATCTAAACCTAGTCAGTGCTCAAAAAGTTCTTGTTGAATGGAAGAAGGAATGGGCACATGGACAGACACATGGAAGGAAGGAAGGAAGGAAGGAAGGAAGGAAGGAAGGAAGGAAGGAAGGAAGATGGATGGATGAATGAGTGGGTGGGTGGATGGATGAGTGGATGGGTGGGTGGATGAGTGGGTGGGTAGGTAGGTGGATGAATGAGTGGATGGGTAGGTCGGTGGATGAGTGGGTGGGTGGGTGGATGAGTGGGTGGGTAGGTGGGTGGATGAATGAGTGGATGGGTGGGTGGATGAATGAGTGGATGGGTGGGTGGATGAGTGAGTGGATGGGTAGGTGGGTGGATGAGTGAGTGGATAGGTAGATGGATGGATGAGTGGGTGGGTGGGTGGATGGATGGATGGATGGATGGATGAGTGGGTGGGCAGGTGGGTGGATGGATGGATGAGTGGGTGGGTAGGTGGATGCATGGATGGATGGATGGATGGATGGATGGATGGATGGATGGATGGGCAGGTGGGTGGATGGATGGATGAGTGGGTGGGCAGGTGGGTG